AGAGAGAGAGAGAGAGAGAGAGAGAGAGAGAGAGGCACAATGCACCATACTGTTGACTCCTGTGTCTGATAATTAAAGTAAGCTCTTCACACTTGAAGCAGCTTCGCTCATCGCTGTTGTAGCAGACCAACAGTTGGTGGCTGCTCCGTGCCAGCGTCTAATGCCTCCCTCTGTTGTTGTGCAACTGACGAAAATCCCTCTCAGTCACTCACATAGCTAACTCTCTGGTGACCTCCTTTCCTGCTCAGTTAGAGTTTGCTCACAGTGGATCATCGTGGAACTCAAATCTTTTTCTGTCTCGACACTCGGTTAATTTAGCAACTGTGATTTGTAAAAGAACCCGTTTTCCTCATTGCAACCATATCAGATTCCTTTAAAGCTGTGATCTTGTTACAGTCGGTGCTTCTCCTGCAGAGACATGTATCAGCTGCAGCTCTGTAGAAAACACAGATTCCACCTTAAAATTAGATCAAGGCCTTTTTTCCTATTGGCGTTGAGTGGCAGAGATCTGCACTTTGAAACACTGAAATACTGATTAAGTGACTTAAACAGCTGTTTTAGGGGAAAACGCCCATTTTGCTAAATATCCACATTATTATGGACGAGTGTCAGATGTTCTGTATTGAGCGCAGGTCAAACTCCTGCAGGAGACATGGAATCTTAAAAGCTGAATGCCGAGGCAGATGCTCCTGCTTAGCAGCTGTTTAGCAGCTTTGTGACAAACCTGTTCTGTTTAAAGGCCTTTAAATATATTCACCTTGACTGATCCTACTTTACAACGCTGCTTTCATCTCGTCAGCGGTCACATTGTGATGACATTTGTTTCTAAAAAGGCAATTAAACTGAGGCTATGATCTCTAAATAACCCACATACATAAATAGATCAATTGGTTTCTGAAGGCATCTTCTTGCAGGAGACCTCATAATATTACAGTTAACCAGCTGTTTTGAAACAGGAGCTCTCAAGTCATTGATATGTGGGACATTTAATTAGCCTTTGTGTCGTTCACACTTCACTTGCAGTGTGTGTGATACAGCGAATTTCCCAAACGGCTGTAATCTGCTGAAACAGCACAATCTGCATGAAGAGGATCTGTCCGTCCTGCGCCGGCTTTGTCAAACAATACAGAGCTGAAAATTATCACACCCTCACTCTGAGATGTTTGATGAGATTTTCTATTATTATTGATTTCAAACACAATATTGTTTCTGCACAAACATTGGTTGACGGTTCGGACGTGGCTGCTGAGGTGCTGCTTGTACAATTTGTTCCTGCGCACATAATAAACACACATTCCGGTACCTGATTGTTACTGCAGAAGCATACACACGATAAGAACGTCGAGCACACACAACACGGCCTAATGAAGCAAACATGCAATATGGTGACAGTGTTAATTCACTGAAAGCTGTTCCCTTCCTTTTTTAAACCCGGCCACTATCTGTTGTCAGTTTCTGGCTTGTTTTGCTAAACTAAGCTTTACTGAGTCGGACTAATCCCTATTGAATTAGAGGTTTGTTTCAAAGGAGATCGTTATGTTTGTCTCCTGATTGTTGTTCTGCATGAGATGCTTATTATTTCTGCACAAAATTATATTAGTATTTGTACAATGCTGTGCCAGTAATCAATAGTCAAAGCCGCCCTTTATTAACGCCAGGAGGTTCAACGATATCTGTTTCTGCCGCCCTGCTCTGCCTGGTCCAGAAGGTACAGGCAGCTACATTTTGCTAATATGGACTAATTACAGGCTCCATCTTGGCGCATGTCAGTAATTTCAAAAGTGTAGTTTTCGTCCAGGAGGTTTTGGCAGAACGTTAAGTGTTAATTGCTGGTGCAGATGCTAATGGAGGGGTTGACATTGTTCAGCTCATTTCAAGTGACGTCATTAATCTGAAAATAGCCTGCCATTGTATTTTATGACAGGATGTCTAGAGGGCTCGTCACATGATGCCATATTTATTTAACTACACCAGTTGCACATAGTTTCTAAGTCCAGGATCCTTTTTCATGTTCTCCCTGTGTTTGTGTGGGGTCAGGTTAATTGGAGACTCTTAACGAACTGTAGGAGTGAATGTGAGAGTGAATGGTTGTTTGTGTCTGTGATGAAGCGGCGACCTGTCAAGGGTAAACCCCGCCCTTCGCCCAATGTCTACTCTGATTGGCTCCAGCTCCCCCTGCAACCCTCAAAAGGACAAGTGGTATTGATAATGGACGGACATATTGTCTATTTAAATGAACCCATCCACTTTCGAGCCAATATCCTGGATCCATGATCTTTATTCACAAGTTCACTGACTCAATAGAGCCATACAATTATAATTAACCTTTTAGAAATCTATCGAATCAGAGAAATAGATGTAGATTTAAATACCTCACACACTCCTCATATCCTCAAAGTGTGACCCAGTGTTCAGAGCAGTGTAGAGGAGACATCGTGCTGAATCCCATCAGTGGCACCTACACACACGCACCCAAGTTCACCAGGAATCCAGCTAAGAGCATGTGTAGGCAAGTGTGAAGTCTGCTGGGATGCGTGTCTATTGTTGATCTATTCTGGGTTTGCATGATGCAGAGAATCTGCTCTATGGCACATGAGGTGTTTGCTTTCATTATATGGAAAAATACCTTTATTATTACTTTTGTAAACCGGGGTTTACCCGTTTAAACACCCTCAGGTAACTCGTTCATAATCATTTAACCTTTAAAACCCGAGAGGGAGTTGAATATGACCCTACAGATCCGTGGGAATTGGGTGTGAAAGGCTATGACAGGCTGTGAAACTGTTCCCACGTCAGTCCTACACTTCTGCCAGTAAAGTTTTATCTGATGCTGTGAAAGCTAAACTGACTCTATCCGGAGATGGAGAAACAGGGATGCACAAGTTATGCAAAAGTCGTGTAAGTGATACTCATGCTAATGCTTTTGGGAAAGAAAAAAAAACGTGAGGCCATTTGCCAGTTAGTGGTTCATGCTCTGGCCTAATGAACCAAGTGCTAAGGGACTTCTGCGAGGTTGTTTAGAGCCCCACACACACATGCATATTTATAAATCTGCATTTTCTCATGTGATAGAAAACCAGACACCAGGAGAAAAAAAAAAAAAAGGGAGAAAATTACTTGCAAAATGACATTTTCAATGAAGCGTGAAATGCTCTTAAAAGCATATTTCCCCTCCTGGAGGGTCACCTGCTTTGCACCATGAGCTGTCACAACACGGTTAAACTGTGGCTGCGCTAACTCGTGCTGTCTCTCCTCTTGCGTGGAAATGCCACGTGGCTGCAGATGGCCCGACTCGCTGCGGCGTTAATCAACAAGCGCGCAGCTCTTTACCACCCACCTGCGACGAGAGGTGGTTTAATGTGGAATTAGCATGACATAATGGATGTGCACTTTCTCACTGTGGTCTGTACAAGGACCTGTGCGGCTGTGACGGTGAACAACACGTACACACGGGTTGTTTGTCTCTCTCCTCCTCAGCTTCCATCTTCTCTGCTCTCCATCTCTCTCTCTCTCTCTTTTTGTCTCACACATGCATCCTCCACTCCCCCTCCTCCTCCCCCTCCGCTCCTCATCTCTTCCAACTCCCCATCTCTTCCTTGTTATTTGCATCCTTCACTCTCCGCACCCTCGAAACCCCCCCCACCCATCTGCTTGCTGATACGGTGATACTGCGAGTCTGACTTAATAAAGCTTGAAGTACATGTTGTCATTCCAACTGTCGATCATTATAATTATTCCGAGATGGAGCAGAGATTGGAGTGGGAGGCGAGGTCTCAGAGCACCGCCATGAAAGTACAGCGCGGCGGAGGTGGGTTTTTTTTCTTTTTCGCTGCGTGGAAAGGAAAATGGTTGCCCTGTGCACGATTCAGCATTTTTTTTTTGGACTTCAAATATCAGCATACAATATGTCACCTGCGAGTTTCTACTGAGGCCCAAATTAGTCGTCGGAGTACTGGAATCACTGAGGCATGTAGTTTAGGTTGTACAAATACAATATCTGTGGTTTGCTTAATCCATACAGAGAATGTAAGCACACAGCGGAATAAAAGATAAGTAATATGTCGTAAGAACGTCAATATACATTCTGTTGTCGTACATAACCTGTCCGCTAAGAGCTTTTTCATCACAGTCTCAGATGAAGCAATAGAGAAAACACAGACTTCACAATTTGCACAATAAGCTTATTCTGAAGTCATATTTTACAAGTATATACACTTGTTAGAGCAGTTTGTTTATCCACCTCCTCTCTTCTGCTGACTCTCACCATAAAACCTTCCTCTGGAGCTCTCTCTACCTTATTCGCCTTTTCTTCTCTATGAAGTCAGCCTTTTTTATTTTTGTTTATCTACATGACATGTTCCATTACGAGTCGGGTGTTTTTTTTTGCAGAGGCCAAGGTGAGCTGCTCCTTTGCAGCTGCGTTGAAATAGTAAACGAACACATTTGAAATTAATTAGCACAGGCACAAAGAAATCTACCGGTGAATAAAAACAGGAAAAAAAATAAAACTTCAGCTCACAATGGTAAATGTTATGAATCCTTGTTTGTGTGACAATTTGTACCTTTAATCTAAATGGCTGTCGGTATAAATATGTAATTGCAGGCTTCGGTGGAGGAGTGATGCAGTTGCAATTTAAAGGAAACCATCAATTAGTGTTTTTAGCTAAGGGCTCTAATTTTCCCTCGCATTTTGTTTTTATTGCAGACAGCACAGCCAGCATCATTGCGAGGCGGAGGCGTTTCAACCACCTGACCCAGGAGCTGTACGAGCTGCCCATTGTGGTGTGGGACGGTGGGGAGCCGTCGCTTAGTGGAACCAGCACCTTGACCCTGCGGGTGTGCCCGTGCCAGCGCCACGGCAGGATCCGGATGTGCCAAGGCGAAGCGTTCCTCTCCTCAGCAGGCCTCAGCACAGGGGCTCTGATTGCCATCCTGCTGTGCATCGTCATCCTGCTGGGTAAGTTGAGACAACCGCTGTGGGGACTGCAGCAGGGGGTGGGAGCTGCCCGGGGGCAAGTATCCTGAGGGCATGGACGGAGGAGATGGACCATAGAGGAGAAGGAAAGGGTTTGAAAGGGTTTGACAAGGGCAGGGGAGGAGAGAGGGATGAATAGACACGCAAGGACACAGGTAGAATTCAGAATGAGGTAAGAGGATGCTGGCGAGGGCAAGGAGAGAGGAAAAAGCAGAGGACATAAAGGGCAGATGTGAGGAGGGACAGAAGGAGGAGGCTGGAGGAGAGGTGTGGAGAAAGGAGGTGGTGAGGCCAAAGAGGTGGGGAAACGGCGACTACAGGGTCAGTGCGATTGAGAACGGAGGCGCATACAACTGAAAGAATACCCGGAGTAACCCCACGGCGACTGGAGAGAGGAGCCGGAGTCTGAGAGCGGTTCATGTTCACACAGGCAGCTCGAATCACAAAACCAGATTAGACCTCGAATCACATTTGTTGACAATTTGAAATTCAATCCAAATCTGTTGCGATGCAGCTGAATCCTCCTCCTGCTGCTGCTGCGTGGCAAGTGTTTGACATCGCATGTTGTGACTGCGAGAGCGGAGGACAAGCGTGGAGGAATGTGGTGACAGACAACACAGATACCACACTTGTTGATTTCATGTGTGACGGACGTGTCGCGCACCTCGAATACAAAACACCGTCGGAAACATGGTGATGTAAACAGCGCTACTTCCATGTTTCCGGTCCGCTGCCGCGGCGCCCACAGAACATGTCACAGTGTGCCTTGTTACTATGGCAGCCGGTCTTTGAGGTGACAGCAAATGATTACACACACACACACACACAAAAATGATATTGTTGCTTTAAACTTGGAATTCGGAAATATATTTAATTCGAAAATGTCAAAAATTTGGCACCATTTCTTCATCAATATCAAATTACTAAAAAAGTCTCCTGGCAGCTGATGCACGGCCAACGTCTTCCTCTTCAAACCAAACGGCAGCAGGACACGACTGGAAGCAAACCGGCTAATGACACGACTGCACCATCGCTGCCGTCCCTTCCTCTGTTTCGTGATTGTCTGTGGATATTAGTGCGTGAAGGTTATGCATACTCATGCTGGCTGTCTGCCTCCTCCACGCCAAAGCCTCTGGCTGAGTCGAACAAAAGGCCATCGACACTGTTTGGAGCAAACGCTCGAGTGAGAGACTCGCACGCTGAATCGCTAATCATCCGCACAAGGCTAATTCCATTTAGGGGGCGGAGACGCAGCGAGAGACAGGAGCTGATCACACCTAAATATGTATTTTGTCAGGTTTTGACCTGCGTTGCATTCAGGTTCACACTTTCCAGTTTGCACACAGCTGAGCTGCTGGACAGAGGTCTGGTCACACAACACCTCAGGAGATGTGAGATATGTCACAGTCAGAATAAATCAGACTCCGGCTCATTTAACAGCATTTTATTTGACTTCCCTGCATCATTTTTTCATGGTTCACCCTCAGCGGTGCAGGTGTATGTGCAGCGGGTGTCCTGGAGGCGCAGAGGCATGAGTAGGGACTGCAATACTCCCTGTTTAAAACCCACTGGGGACCTTAGCTACATACTTCCCTCTTCCCCTGCGGTTTCCATCTCTGCTCCACCAGGTTTAGTGTTGAACCTCAGTGTTTCACATGTGATCTTTACCTGGATTCATTACCAGCACAGTGGCATCCAGTGGTTTATTACCACGCTTTAGTTAAATTAGAGAGAATGAGAAACTAGTTCTTCACTGAGGTTCTTTAAGGTTGATGTGTTTTCATCCAGATACAGGTCACATGTTAATGCCAGGGGTTCTAATTGAACAAAATACACCAAATACTTGTATAAGACAATCACGGGTAGTAAATGAACAACTCGTTTATCGTTTTATCAACGATATGTTTGATTCTCTAGCAAACCCAGCACCACAAACTTACACTCATAAAACCTTGGAATAGTTTTTGTTCAAACTACAATGTCCCCACATACGGAGGTTCGAGTCCTCTGCCCCAATTTCATACTTGTCCGAGCTTATTTGACGTTTAAAAAAAAAAAAGTAGTCATGTCGGCACATCAGCATCTCTATCACTCACACGTTCAACAACAATAACTTCAAATATCAATACTTTTCACTGGATTTTACTTGTTGAGTTTCAGGGAATGTGGCAGATTCACATGACTAACTGGGTTAAAATTAAGAGTTTTGAAAAAAGCATAAATGTATTTCTGGACTCAGGTGACTTCGTCGTATCACTTAATGTTTTTCTTGAATTAAGAGTTTTGCTCTCATTCAGTCTTGAGAAGTTACAAGTTGTGAACCTCTTATTTGGTTTAGACGCATTATTTTTAAAATTCAGGACACTCTCCCAGTATGGTCTTCAATAACCAGGGTGCCAATGCAGCATAAATAAGATTCCTGCAATGGTCGCTGCAGCAAATAGATATTTGGTTCCATAAGTGCAGCAGTTAGATCCCAGCTGGCCTTGGCTTGCAAATGAAATGACCTGAATGCACCATTGAGGGAGCATTAATGTGCATTACAGTGTGGTGTGTACTGCGAGTGGGAGCAAATACAAGTAGATCACAAGCTGAGGAAAAGTTTAATAACATAGAATAATGATAAAAGGAGGATTTACTCAGTGAAACATTTCTGTTTTATTCATTATAATCAATTTCTTTGTCTCTAAACCTAAATACAAATATCCAAAAGATGCACAAGGAAGTCAATAACAAAGCACCTTTGCATTGTGTGTTATGCTGCTTTAAACATACCCCACGCATTCACCCTCTCCAACCATCACATCTGTGGACATTTCATTAAAAACACGAGCGTGGGACTGCACCGAACAATCTAATATATGTCGATTGTAGTGGAAATTACACGAATATCAGAAACACACAGTAGCTTCAGTGCAGTCGATGAGTGTAAAATTATATATTGTACAGTAAAGTGGAATTCTCGCTTACACAAGCAGAGACAGTGAGGACGCCTCTGAAAGACAGTAAAACAAACCTTTTTAAAACCCTGACAGATTTATAGTCCATCAGGAAGCACTCAGCCTCGTGTATATGGGACCTATAGAATTCTGCAGAGCTGGAGAGAACGGATGAACACGCACCACAGGAATATTATGACGAGCATGAAGACGTGGAATTCAACGAAACCAGCACAAAAACACGTTTTTAGTCAATGGGAGTGAAAGCATGTCCCTTCAAATCTCAGAGAATCATGTGTTTTTGTTTTTATATCGTACTCACATCATCTACATCTGATTTCTCATGTTCATATTCATGAATACGAAGTAAAGAAGTCATAGGCTACAGTCAGGTATCATGTTTAATTACCGGAGGAAACAAATGTATTACCTCCGACAAGTATGTTTTCATCAACTTCAAGGACGGAAGAGTCATGTCTGGCATATTTCCCAGGAATTATTCTTGAATCTAGATGTCAGATTTGCCGTATTGGCGGAGCTATGAACTCTTCGGAGCGCTATTATTTGGAATACTTGGGTTCCAAGCTCAACTGCTGGCTCGTACGTGTCAATATCTTCCTTATACCCAGGGCTGGATTATCAGTCAGGCAAATTGTAAAGCTGCTCCATGGACGCGGACTCTTAAGGGTCCCACAGGATCAGCTCATTTGTCGGTAATCCTGTGTTTTTGCCAGACTCTGCATTGACGCTCAGTGGGTGTCACCGCAGAGTGAAAAAGGCTGCGTTCTTACTTTTAATTTCTCTGCATCTCCTTTTTTGTCTGTGTTATTCAGAGCTGCCACATTGTGAATAGCATCGCTCTCTCTCGGCCGAGTATATATGTAAGTAGAGGCTTTGGTGCTCGAGCTCATGCACCTTTAGTCTAAATTTAAATCTTTTAAAGTGCATTACTCTGTTTACAGCTGCCAGAGTCACCACAGTATGTATATAACAATGGATTACTTGTGTAAGTACAGTGGATCAGCCAGATGCATCATCGCATCCTTGAAGTCGTGGAAGCTGAAACCTCCACCTCCTCTTAATCTACCACCTCCACCACCTTCCTGTCTGTCATTCAGGTTCTCACCTCGCATGTGTTGTAAGGAGCCTCCTTCTGAGAGGCTGCTGTACCACAGGAGTGTGGGGGGGTTTTTTTAGGATAAAGGTGGAATGTGGCAGTTCCGTGTGCGATGCCAGGATGCCCAGAACATTTATACCACCTTAAAAAGGACGAGTTATTTTTGTTTCTTTGAATCTTTCTCCTGCAGCTAACGTTCAGTGCAGCTTCATTATGAAGCGCGGCCGTCTCTGCAGGAACACTGATCTATGTGGCTCCGCTCTGCTGATGGGGCAGAATGAACTCCTTTTAGATATTGCACTGCTGTAAAAAAAAAAAAAAAAAGTACATCCCACGCTGACAGCGTTTTTATTAAATGGATGTTGGTGTTAACAACTTGCAGAGGGGTCATCATTAACCCAAAGTCGCATAACTCTCATTAGCTGTTGGAACAAGTTCCAAGCTGTAGTATCTCATCAAATATTACTTGACTCCATGATTTCATTAACAGTTGGGAAAGTTATTTCAGACTGTGAGCTACTTATCAGCAGAGTTTTTGCAGCCGTGCCATATTTATCTTTGATGTGGCTCAACTGGCTTTCCATTACAGGCTTCACCTAAAAGATGAGGCGATTACACGAGGCGTACCTCCGCACGATTTCTCCCGACCCGACGTCGGCTCCTCGGGTTGATGATAATGTTCACATTGTCGTCATCTCAAGAGCTCGCATTCAAAGAACCATCGATGCTAATGTCGGCTAATGTGGTTATTGATTTACAGCTCCGCGACGCCCGGCCAGTTTTAGTGTCCCGATGGAAGATTGGATAGATGCGCACATAAAACGGGCTCGTGTTCATTTGGTTTGCTGTTTACGAACCACTACATGTTTGTCTGTCATGAGCGATGAATTAACAAACAACACACACGCATTGGAATTTACATAAAAGAAATGGCTGAGCGTGGCGACGACATGCAGTTGTTCCCATTATGTGTCGTTCGAAGAGTCAGACTCTCATTTTATCATGTTTTCCAGAATTATATTTAGAAAATAACTGATTATTATGACGCACAAAACGTTTTCCCCTCTGTCTTGCAGCCATTGTGGTTCTCTTCATCACCCTGAGGCGGAGCAAGAAAGAGCCTCTCGTCATCTCCGAGGAGGACATCCGAGAAAACGTAGTTACCTACGACGACGAGGGCGGAGGCGAGGAGGACACCGAGGCCTTCGACATCATCGCCCTCCGTAACCCAGCAGCCGCCGAGGAGCTCAAGTTCCGGCGGGACATTCGCCCAGAGGGGCGGAAACACTGCGTCCCGTCCCGCAGCCGCCGGAGCCCGTCGGTGGAGCTGGACGAGGTGGACGTGCACGAATTCATCAAGCAGAGATTGGTGGAGGCCGACATGGACACCAGCGTGCCGCCCTATGACTCTCTGCAGACCTACGCTTACGAGGGTCAGGGCTCACCCACGGGATCCGTCAGTCCTTTAGACTCTGCCGGAACGCAATCGGAGCAGGATTATAACTACCTGGACGACTGGGGGCCCGAGTTCCAGAAACTGGCAGAACTCTACGCAGAGGCAGAATCAGATATGACAACCTAGTGTGTGATTTCACTCCTGTTCAAACCAAATCTGTTTGAAGTCTGTTTTGCAAGTTTTCAGTGAACAATACAAACAAACAGAGATGCTTTCAAACTGGTCTGGTGGATTTCTGTCGTTGAGCCGCAAACACTGCTCGATTTTTCCTTTTCGTCGCGTTGGATCGTTAATGCGGAAGTATTGAATCAGATTTTGAAGATGGAAGAACAACAATATGGGGAAAAAGGAAAAATGATATTTTCCTCGGTGTATATTTTTTATTGCTCAATAAAGTCCTGAATCCATATGAGTGGATATGTGAGAAAAAAAAATGGTACTTTGTCTTCTTCCTCCGAGAGTGGATCTGCAGCGCTGCGTGCAGTAAAGATTACAGAGGTGGGAGGCATTACCAAAGGTGTTCGTGATTCACCGAGCAGAGGATGATGCTGAGCTCGAACACAACCTTGAGTCACATGAATATAAGTTTAGTGTCAGTATTTATTCGGTCGCATTTTTAGGAAAAAATCAGCCGTTTGTGGAAATAAATAACTTTCTTTCATGTTGGTTGAGAAAAGGTGAATAAATCCAGAATAAATCAAACACAACTTTGAGTGGATATTTATCAAAAAATCTACCAATCAAACATTTTGCCTCCACACTAATTCAGTCGACTGATATTCAAGAGCCACAAAACCAAAAAATGCAGCCTTGGTTTCCTGAGTCTCCTCATGGTCAACGTTCCAATTTACTGGGTGATTGAGGGTCTCTGTCTCTGTAGGAGCTGGTCTCTCTGCATCGGTTCATTAATTTCCTCGTGCGTGAGGCTTTTTGCGACGGGACCGCAGGGTCGTCCCAAATCGAGTTCTCTACACTAACACATTAACCGTCACTGGAGAACTTACCTTACTTTAACATGTACCTTACAACATTTCCTCTGAGTAAAGGTAAAGAAGCCTGATGGCTGATTCCTATAAACATCTGTAGAACAATAATTTATTATCTTGACTTTAATACATAAGTGCTGGTTATGTCACAATACATTTTGTGGAAGGGTAATCTGATGTAGGACCTGATCACAACACATAATAAGCTGATAACGATGCCAAAATAGACGTATGCACACGTCCTACTTTGTTCAATGATTGTTAAGAGTACGTTAATCTTAATCTCTGAGGATTCTGCATGTGAATACACAGAATCTTTAGAGGAGAGAGAGAGAGAGATTTACCAGGCAGGTAAACAAAGCTCATAGGCAAAGGTTGTTGACAGAGATTAGCTAAACTGTCACCTACACACAAAAAAAATCACTTTGCCAGTCAGATCGTAAACGAGAGGGCGGAGTGTTCACCCTGATATCTGCTGTCTACACCGAAATGCAGGCCGCTAATTCATTGTCGGACGAAAGCCGAGGGGCTGTGACATTTGTCCAGTCTTAACTCTAAAGAAAGGTTAATTGTCACATGTGATTTCCTCTTGAATCGCTCCTTCTTCATAAAGAGGCATATTCCAGGTCCAAGTGCCACCAGTGACGTCTTTACGACTCTAAATGGAAGAAACTTCGCTCGCATCCATTACAGAACAAAGCGTCGCCTCACATTCATCACTTACTGTGTCACACAGACAAGAGAAGCTCAGCTTCAGAGTCGTGTCGTTCAGGTGAGCTGGGAGTGAAAGTTATTTTCATTTTGTGCCATCGAGCGTTTTGTTAAAACAGGGTCACGTCTGGAAAGTTCAATGGCTGCCACACGTTGTTAACATCTCATTTTGGAACTGAACTCCTCAGTTCTTCTGTGTGACGATGAACAAAAACACAAACGGGATCGATTTGACTCGGTGATGAATCGTCTCCAGCTCGTCGTCAGTGTCGAGTTTGGTTCACAGATGCAGACAATTAAGGTAAATAAAAACAAGGGTGGGTGATGGATATTTTACACCCTGCACTCACACCTCCTGGATTCACCACACACCTCCTTCTTCTCTTGCTCATTTATTCCCTCTGCTCACACATTGATGTTGTTTCTTGTCTTTTTCACAATTGGATCGAAGCAAAGAGACGAGCGTGGAGACTCGATAGGTCCCAAAGACGAACGTAGAAGAAACTTAAACTGACTCTCAGTGACTATTTCTTTGTTTTTCTTTCCAGCCATTTGAATTATTTGATTATCAGACGATCGCAGCAGCCGTCACTCAAACCCACATGATTTATCATCCTTGTCCTTTTCATCCATTGTTTTAATATGTGCCTCTGCGCTGGAGACTCCTGTGGCTGATGGCATTCTCATGAACACAGTGTTTCGGGAAAGTGAAAATTCTTCAAATTTAGACAAAGCTAAGTTAGATTTACTGATTGAAAAATCACGACAGACTTTAACATAGACAACAAACAATAACGATAAAAGATTGAAACGTTTTCTTGTTATTGCTATCAGAGAGCCAAGAGCCGCTGCGTCCGTGCCTCAATTCATTCATCGCATTTATCGGCAGGATTACGTGGAGCCTCTGAAATTGCACATCCTAGTCACATGACGTCTTCAAGGTCACATGTTGTTTTGAGTCTGGACGCGCGTGGCTGTAAAATCTGCAGCTTCCCTGCAGAGGCGTAATAACCACACCGCGGTAATTCTAGTTTTTTCCCCCCAAGTGTTCATTGTGCCGGTGTGGTTGCCAAGGGAAACGCAGCTACAACTTTCTCCTGAAGCATCAAAACTTCTTTCCTCAGGCAACAAATCTAGCAGCACCCGCAGGGTTGTGTTTGTACGCACGTGGAAACGGGAACATTTTTATAAAAGGCAGCTCTTCATTCATGCACCTGGTGAGGGCTGCAAAGTTTTTGAATTCTCAACGAGGTACCAAAATACAAGAGCCGCAATTATCCCGTTTCTGCACCAGATGAAACAGATGGTGTTAACAGAAAACCAGAAGAAGTTTAGTTTTGGTAAAACGTTTATCTTTAAAAAAGTTTCTCGACAAATTAAACAAAACATTCAGACTCAATCCGGCAGAAAGATGGAAAATATTCTTTTTATCAAATGTTGGTTTTCTGTTTTGTATTAAATCAAGATGTGTATATTTGTATTTCCGACTGTTAGTGGATGATGCTGGTGATATAATCGTCTAATAGATAATATGAGTAGAATCTTTTCTGTGATTTTATCTAAAGAAAAACTCAATATCTGTTGCCATATAAATAATTTGTATTACCAGAGCAAATTATCTTTTCCTATGTGATATTTCCTGTATTTTCTGCATTACATTATTATATATTATATTGATTTGCGGGAGCCAAACAGGAAGTGAAGGCTGTTGCTTTATTTTGGGTCCAGTCAATCAATATTTAATGTTAACTCAGAAACTTGAGCTCATATTTTAGAACCACAGCACAAACTGACAGTCAGCGAGCAGCCTCGGAGCAGGAAATCATTCGCTCCATCTAAACGATTTAGTTGCGTGATTAGCCGGATTTACTACGTGTAATTAAGGATCCTATTCGACTCGAAGGCACTGAACATGACCCGTGATGAACACTGTGGTCTGTGCACTCCCCCTCCAGTAACGCTGCACCAGAGTAAAGACGGGAAATCAACATAATTTCCACAGCTGATGCAGCGTCGTGTTATTGTGCGTTCTTATCTCCTCCGTAGAGGAGCTCAGTCTGTGTCCAAGATAAATCTTGCGGAGGAAAAAATTAATCTGGAGTCAATTAGTTTGTGTCGTGTTTGTTTAATTACTTCGTTTTAACTGAAAATCAATTCAATGAAAAGGTGGAGGAGGTGTAAACCTTCCAAAAGAGCACCAAATAGCACTTTTGTGCAAAAAAAAAAAAAAAAAAAAATCAGCACAGGAGAATGGTGAGATAAGTGTTAGACGCCAAGAGGTTTACATGGATTAAACCATCAGCCCCTGAATAAAGATTTCTTCTTTATGGAGCAACAATCTATCAAAGCTGCGCCCATATGTTTTCCAGATAAGGCCGGGGTAATATCTCACGGGCTGTGTGAGGATATGTTGGGGAAATGGCTCCCAAGGTTTTATCTTTTGTCAAAAGCAGCAGAGTGGATTTTCTTTCTGAAAACACGACTGCGAGCGGTTCCAGTGATATTGTTACTGTCTCGGGAAGAGCAGCCGTGCGTCACACAGCTTCATACAGTCTGTTTACTCACTTACCAAAAAACAGCTTTAATTGCACTTTGCATATCAGGTCAAGGATGCAAGAGTTTTCATGTTTGTGCCTCTGACTGGCTGAGGAGTGAGGAGCGCGTGTGCAGAGGTAGTTTTCCTTCTTCTTTCATTATTTTTTTATTTTGCAGTGGGTTGTGTAAGACCTTAGGGCCGGTCGAGCCAGCTGCTTCTACTTCTCATACCGTTTGAGGTCAGAGGCTTCTAAGAAGGTTTGAAGCTTTCGCAGAGAGTATGATTTAATGGAGGGCAGCTTTGCATATTATAAATGTTCATGACTCTCGAGTGTGTGAAGGTGAATTGGAAATAAAAGATCAAAGAGCCTAAAAATCCTTTCAAATTCAAGCTTGCGATCATTAAAGTTGTTTAAGCCCAAAGTTTATGGGGTTGCAGGTTTGTTTGTGAAAAAAGTTCTAATTTCAACTTTTAAAATGCAAAATAATAAGAACCATTTCTTCTTCTTCTTCTTCTTCTTCTTCATGATGATTGATTTCTGGATTTCTTTTACTTCATGTCGATCAGGGAAAAATGCAGCTGCACATTTGTTGACGAGCATTATACATACATCCTGAAACTGAAACCCCCACGAGAATATGAAATCAGATTCATGTGCCGTTTTAATGCACACGGAGCTTAAAACCTACGTCTGTGTTTGAGGTAGAATGAAAAGACTGACAATCACTGTTTACAATTCGAGATTTTTAAACTCACCTCATAATATTTGACACAACCAATATTTAACTGTGTTAAAATGTGTATATGAACTCTGGGGTTTTGAAAATTAGCCATTCCTCATTGCACAAGCCAGAAATGACATCATTTCCACGCGCCTGCAACGTCATTTCGGCCGTAACAACATAAAATAGTTGGGAGGTGCTCGACCTGGGAGCTCAGTAAGGGAGCATAGACATTTCTAGACTGTTGGTAAAGACGAGACATTCTGCAGGAAACGATGGAAACTTTGCTCTGGGACAAAACAACCAAGCAACACAACTCTTTGTGTTTCTTGTTCTTCACCTTTTTCAAGCAACATCATATTTTCCTTGGTCGCATCCTTTAGGAGCAGACGAGTTGTGTCGACGTCATCGTCCGTTGAGC